CCCCCTCCCCTTTGTTTTGGCTGCTTTCTGTTTTTTAAAAAAAGTCTGGGGGACAAAAACTGAAGTTTTTCTTGTTTGGTTTACACATTAGAAATTCAGCTCATATCTTGCCCGGAGGACTCTGGTGACTAGAGAATTAGCAAAATGATGACATTACAAGAACCAAAGCTGAGCAACTGATTGTGGAAGTGGTTTTTAGTCAGATTGAGTTAAAAAACATTTTTGTCAAGGGCCATTTAACTTCAATGACTAAGAAATCTTTTGGAAAAAGGCAGCCTTTGCTAAAAATTCACTCTCTTCCTCCTCTCTATTAAGGTGTAAGTGTTAACAATCGACATTCTCTGAGACCCCAAACAAATCAGCCAGAACAGCTAGACCCACCCCAACACTGATGTCCCTGATACTTCTAAGGCAACAACCCACACAGAATTTTTAAAAAACAAAAAAACTTTGAGAACCTGGAAGGAAGCCAAAAACCCTAAAGGCACAATCCCAGTTTTAAAAAATACCTTGCGCATGTCACCTTTAGTGGACCACTGGGCTTTGAACTATTACGTTTATAAGTAAACAGTAAGGTTTTTAGTTCCTCTTGAGGTAAATATAGGTGAGATAATCATAATGTGAAATAAAATCTGTAGGGTGGGACGTTCAACAGAGCCCAAGGCTTGTAGGTTCCTGACTCCCGTTGAAATCTGCCGAACTCCCTTCTGCATCTTTGACAATCCCAGCTTTAGACAACAAACAAAGGGGGGCACCTGCTCTTCTGGATATGTGCACGTACCGCCTCAGAGCCCTCGGCCAAGTGCAGTGCGTGGTCTGTGTGCAGGATTGGGAACCAGGAATTCCCAAATCCTCCTCCTGTTTCTGATACTGTCTCCGATACTGTCTCCCTCTGTAGCTTTGGGCAAGTCATGGAACCACTCTGCCTCAGTTTCCCCATCTGTAAAAGAGGGATAATAATATTACCCTCCTCATGGGCATGTTTTGACAATGAATCAGTTAATGCATCTAAAGTACTTCGACCATGAAAAGCAGTATATATACGTTCCTAGTATTATTAGGACTAGCATTTCTGCCTGCACCCTGTGTTTATGCCCTGTAATATTTTTGTGCATATGTCACAATGGGGTTGAGTAGCTTCTTGTTTTCTTTGGCCAGATGTCAGTGTGTGGCAAGAATAAACTACCTGCACTTCAACAAATGGGGTTTTCCTTTCTTAAGGAGAGGATATTTTGTTTATCGTATCAGAGCAAATACACAAAATACACAGTGGGATTGCACAGTAAAATGTGTTCTGCCTTGCTACATGTTAATCTGTCTGTGTAGAAGGTTCCTTATAGGGCGTTTGTTTTGTGCACATTTCACACCCCGGGGTAATTGCTGAGCTCAGCCAGTCAGGAAGGTAAAGTGTTGATTATTAAATATGTATCTTATGGTTGCACCCCAAGGGCCCCGTCAGGATCAGGGCCCCAGTGCACTAGGGGCTACACAAACACAGAAGGAGGTGATTGCCGCCCTCAGGCGTTGACAAGCTGAATAAAGCCTTAGGGTAAATATCCAACATTTCCCTTCCCTGAGGACGTGAAGCTGTGCAGGTAGTGTGGGTCAAATTCATTAAGCCACCAGCTCTGATGAAGTTACACCATCAGATTTGGCAAGCTCTCTTCAGACTGCCAACTGCCTTCATTATATGAAGGTGGGAACAATTTGTGCCCTTGCTCCTGCCTACATAACCCCACTGACCTCAGTGGGATTGATGGAGTTTAATGGAGAAAGCAGAATCTAGCTCATCAGATGAAAGCTGGTGCTTTTGTATTGGACTGAAATACCCGCTCTTAAAACTAACTTCCCTACTTCATTTCAGGGGCACTTCTGCATGTGTTGCTGAATAGAAGAGTTGACCTCCCCACCCCTGTTTATTTGATTATTAAGACTTCTGTTTGCAACATGATTTTTGTCTTCCTGCACAGATGGCCTCTAGAGCCAGAAATGTAGCACTGAAGGTTCTGACTTTGTCTCATTGTGAAAGGGCCCGTCCTCAGCAAGCACTTGAGTTAGGCCTTCCAAATGCATTTCCATCTCTCTATCCCTTCCAGAGCCAGCTTCAGATGCTGGGAACAAGCCACTGTGATTCCGTTGCATGAAGTCCAGTGAGAATCCGCAACATGGGATTCCACAGCCCTGCTTCCTGGGGAGTTCCCTCTGCATGGCACTGTAGAGTGATGGAGGATAGCTAAGTCTGTGGATGCACAGACTTAACCTCTCCTCCCCATGGAGAAGCAACATCCTATCAACTGTGGCAGCAGCTTTGCAGCCATTGAGTTGAGGAAAGAAGATTCCCAGCTGTATACCTCCTTAGATCTCCACCATAAAGACAGGCTACTCAAGGTGGCAGTTGGTCAGCCTTCATCTCTTTATAAGGAAATAGATGTAAATGCTTAATTTCAACTCCAAAATAATAGTTCTTACACATGGGATCGCAATCTCGTTTCTTTAATCCATGTGTCTTTTCCATCACAATGTTAATTGCTGGAGGACAAAACTGATGTGTTCTGCATGTGCGTGCTGTGATAATAAGTGTGGATTTTTGTTTGTGTGTATGTGTTGTTGTTTTTTAATTTTGTTCCTTTAGAAAACAAAAATCATCTTAACCATGCCAGAGGAGGATTTAGCTTTCTGTCCCAACTTGCCCTCCCTCACAAATCCCCCACCCAAGCCTCGCCCAAGAGACATAGGCAACGTAAACATGAAATACCCCAGAATCATTTAGGAAGAAGGCTTGAAGGGCCATCAAGTTGGGATCCGGACTATATTCTACAAATACCAGATCTGGACATCAAGAAAGGTATTCTGGAGAGGGGACTTATCCATCCAACTAATCTCCTACATCATCTAACCAGGGCAGTCCTCTTCTCCAGAGGAAATCTATTTGCTTTCTCCTTTCACCAGAGGCCCTCGCAAACTTAGCACTATTTAACAAATACTTGTTTTCGTATTGCTTGAAAGAGTAACTGCAGCACTGCCAACAGCTGGTGATGGCACTAATTCTTTTAGACGAGAGATGTGGGAGCAACCGCACTGGCCCATAGCCCCTGTTGCAATCTCTTCCTAACACAAAGGCATTAATCCTGGCTGTTCTGTACAAAGAATCTGAAATTAACCAAGGATAGGACTTTCATGAGAAATGGAAAGTTGGATCTTTACTGGTGATTCCATAGCTGGAAAAGCAAGCAAAATATCATGTCTTTTGATAGGTCAAAATCTCTGTATAAGTGGCCATTGCGTGTCAAATCCCGTGCCGAGCAGGGAAAGCAGAGTAACCGAACTGGCACACGTATACTTGGAAAAGGCAGCACCTGTACTCTGTCTGCCAGCAGCCCCTCCTGCCCATTATTCTTGCTAGAATCAGGTTAGTTGGCATGGGGAAGCATGGTTCATAGCTGCCATTGCTGGACCAAGGGGCGTATGCACATACCAACGCCATAGCTCAGATCATCCTGCTCTGGCTCCTGCTGGGACATCCCGCAGAGAAGTTGTCTGCTCATTTGTGGAAAGAGTGGGCAACTCTTCCCTTGGGCCCAGATTTTCAAATGAGGTGTCTGCTTGGTGGCAGCTATCACATCCCCTCCCATGTCAGGCTGTCTCATTTTTGTGTCTAGTGCCTTATTGGAGAATGTCTAAAGAGAACCAGCAAAGCTATTTTAAAGAATCCCAAGCTCCTTGTCCAAGCCCCAGTCCTCCTAATACCACTGCTCTGGGGTCTCTATCTCCTTCTGTGGCTGCTTTTTCATCACAAAGCAGGTGGGAGTTCAAGGCTGCCTGCATCTAGAACAGGGGTGGGCAAACTTTTTGGCCTGAGGGCCACATCGGGTTTCCAAAATTGTATGGAGGGACGGTTAGGGGAGGCTGTGTCTCCCCAAACAGCCAGGTGTGGCCTGGCCCCCGCCTCCTATCTGACCTGCTTCTTGCTCCCTGATGGCTCCCCCGGGACTCCCGCCCCATCCACCACTCCTTGTCCCCTGACCACCCCCCAGACCCCCCAGGTGTCACTTGTGGGCTGCTGATGAGTCTCAAACTGTGGTCTTGCAGAAGGAAATATTCTGAAGAGCAAAACTAGGGAGTGGGATCTGGGCAGTGGGGGTGGGGCATGGGAGGGAATGTGGGTCCATTTTACAGGGAAGACGTTGGGAACTCTCTGGTCTAGCTGAAGGATCTCACTGGCTGTTTCTTGTGTTTTGGTGGTGGTCTGTGTGTAAACTGCCCCCACTGAGCACATCCACTTCACCACCTCACTCCCATTGGTATCCCTGCAGTGTGGCTCTGCTGCTAGAAGAGGGAATGACTTGGTATTAAAATAAGGTCCTTGACTTTTCTGCTGGCTTTTAAATTACCCTGTAGCTCCCAGCTTCCTCTGTAGCTCCCATCCGAGTAGATGCTGATGAAGCCTGGAGATTCGTCCACCGTTTAATGCCCCCGTCCTCAAAGCTCACCAGAGCCTCTGTTCTGAGAGCTGCAGGGTTTGCAGACTCCTTGCTGGTTCTCCTGTTGGGCTGGGGGGTTAGTTGTGAAGACACTCACGCCTGCAGAGGCTGAGCAAGTTGCTTCAATAGCACTCCGGAGGCTGGCAGCCTGCAGAATGGTGGTGGTGATTATGAATGCATCACCATGGGCCTTTCTCATAATCCAGTCTCTTTCCCCTTCCTAGTGTTTTGCTTGTGTCTTTCCATAGCAACTAACCTGTGGCTCCATTGCCTTTATATTGTTCACTTCGGCTTCTGATATTAATAACAAAATATGGGATTTTACCTCTCTGGGTTTGAGAGGGTTTGTGCCTCCATGAAAGTTAAAGGGAAACATCCTGTTTGTTTAGTTTTTTGCCTTTAGCAGCATCTGCTAGCCTCTGCTCAAAGTAGGCCCATGGAGCTGAAAGTGACTCAGGTATATGCGTGCAGTGTTGTTGTGGCTGTGTCGGTCCCAGGATATTAGACACACAAGGTGGGTGAAACAACAGCTTTTATTGGACCAACTTCTGTTGGTGAGGGAGACAAGCTTTTGAGCTTACACAGAGCTCTTCAGGTCTGGGAATGGCTGCAGTATATAGACACATCCATAGCTCTCCCCCGTCCCACCTCCAGAGCAGAGACTCTTTCTATTTCATTTTTGCTGTACGGATGGAGAGATTTGTTTGTTCCCCATCACCACAGCATCAGCACATTGTCACAAACTCACTGTGAGTGGCAGTGACCCTGCACTGAGGCCACCCACTGGCCCTCCCCAGAAGGGTTGATGACATGTACATGCCCCATCTAATCTGAAAGTTATTTTGATTATCGCTATTCTGGTATTCACAAGAGACTCTAGGGTATTTATTAATGGCCTCTAATACCCTGGCTGGGCATGGAGTCACCAGCCTTTGATCTGTGTCTCACATTCCCCTGGGGTGTGGATTAATGGCTAGTTACTGCCTCCCCTCCAGGGACATCCTGTTTGATTTAATAAAGGAGATGTCATGCTCTGTGCCTCGTACCATCCTTGGGTGGCTCATTAATATTTTTGAGCCCTGTTCAAATTTTGCTTCATCTTAACAATAAAATCAACGGGGAAGGAATTGCCCGGCGCAAGGACCCATGGCCTAAGGTTAACATTTAAAACAGCTCTCTCCTCTCTCTTTAACAAGCCTTTTCTTTCATTAGTTGCTGCCAGATGGTGGGGAACAAAAAGAATAGACTATGCCCTTTACTGTCCTGATGCCCTGACTGCCTTTCCGACGGTAGCCTTACCACACCTCTTCCATGCAAGCTACTGGGAATCGACAGATGTAGTCTCCTTTCTGCTGAGACAGGTACCATAAATATTTCATGCTTCTCTCTCTCCTCCCTTATGCCTAACTTTTGTTGGAAAATATTTTGGAGACTATTTTCACCTTGCTGCACCCTCCAAAATAACTTTTGTTGACACTAATGGGGGCTCACCATACAAATGGAGGAAAAAATGTACGCTTCACAACTGCCACTCCATCTTCTTTCCCTTCCCATGCTATGTCAAATACAGCTGCGTTGGAAATAATACTTACTGCTATGCACATGGAACACTATGTTTCATGGAAACTATCAAATCACACATGACTTGCTTGGTGCTGGCTTTTGTTACTGGAGCAGGTTCTTGGAGAGAGGTTCATTAAAGATCTGAACCATTTGGAGTCAATCTGGGCCCATTTCATATCATAGTCTTGCAGCATTGCATGATTTTGACGCAAAAACCATGTGATGTTTGGATTGAACTTTACTTTGAATTTTTAAATCCTTTCAAACCTGAAGCTCAAAGGGAAGCTCTCTGTGCAAAGCCTACATGGAATAAAACAGAAGGAAAAGTTTGTACAAGTTTCAGACTTGGATTGCTAAAATTAGTGTTCAGTCCTCCATTTGGGCTCTCAAATTAACACTTAAACACCCTGAGGACTATGGATTTTTGCTTCAAGATCCAGAACTTGGTACCACAGTTCAAATTACTTCTCAAAGGGTTAGGTAAATAACAAATGATGGTTTCTGGACCATCACATTTTGGATTCTGTCTGTTTAACTTTGGTCACATGTTTAAATTTTGCAAAATCACATTTTTTTTTCTAAAATCCAGTGGGTATATTTCCCTTTAAAACAAAAAACAAACAGACATTGAAAATAGTTGTTTTCCCAGAAGTGCATGAAACCCCAAAATAGCAGCACTAAGACCCTGGAGGTGAAAACAAAGATGAACTAAAGGGGGACACGTTCTTCTTGATTGCCGTTGTCCACCTGGAGAGAAATGCAAAGAGTAAACAAGAAACATAAATAGTTAAAGAAGAAACTTGCTAGCTTGTGACATATGGGCCAGTATATTCAAATCAGGGGCCTAAAGTTGGGCTCCTAGATTTATGCTTAGGCAGCTAAATTAATGTAGCCTGATTTTTTTAGAGACCCTAAATACCCCAAGTCCCCCTGAAGTCAGTGGGAGCTGCAAGTGCTTAAACCCTGTGAATTTTGGTTGTCTCAATATAGATTTAGAAGCCCAACTTTAGCCCCCGAGGGTTTGAAAACTCTTGCCAGGATTATTAAGTTGACAATGTAACTTTAAAGCACAGAGCATTGTCAGAGCATAACAATCCCTTGCTGCAACACAAACATTGCAGTCCGCAGAGAAAAAACACACCAACCCAAAGGGCTGCTCTCGTGACCATGTTGCCATGGCCCAACATCATTCATTTCTCAAACTCAAGCAGAGATGCGTTCTGTCGTTTTCATCACAGCGGAGAGGTGGCTGCTTCTGTGGATTGCAACCCGCTGGCCCTGTCCTTCCAAATGCACAGTGGGCTGGAGTCTCTTCTCTCCGTCCTTTCCCTGCCCCAGGTTCTTTCCCTGATAAGGATTTGGAAACATCTTTTCATTTGGTGCATCTTCTGTCGGGCGCTAGCGAGAGAACAGGTCACCCAGTACAAAGGGATAGTCTAGGATCATCACTCCACAGACTAGCTGAACTCGAGCTAGTTGTATCCATTTTGGCTCTGCCCCTGTTTATTCTGAATTGCCAGTGGCATGGTGCTGGAGCATTCAGAGGGGATCTGGCCACTTTGGTGTTGGCTGCATTAGTCCCTTCTGCCAGAAAAAATTCCAGGGAGCCCTCTGCTGAAGGATGGAGAATAATTATTTAATCCCAGTACCCTGATTTTATGCTTAGACTCCTTTTAGTCTAAACCTTTGAACCTGCATAAGTGAAGTACTAGCACCCTCCCCTCTGCAGCTCCTCAGCACGGGGAAGGATCCAGCTCCGCCTATTGGCCTGGGTTTGCTGTGTATTAGCTCAGCTGTTTAAATTACCCCATCTCTGTTACAGCACATCTGACTGCAGCTCTCCATTATTTATAGCCTTCTATTGGCAAACTCTTTTTCGTTGCTGTCATCCAAGTTTGTCTGTAGGTTCCATAACCATGGGGATGTTAGCACTGATGGCTGTAGTACCCTAGTATTAATCGATCTCGACCTTTTATTCCCTGACCTGTCTCTAGTTTCCAACCCAGTGGGCCAGTGTTGCACTCACATGCTGTGTCTCCTCATTTTGAACAGTAGGCTCCAATGTGGAACTTTTGCCTAAGTGGCTGCAGGAGGGAAACCATGTGTGTATGTCAGAGCCTTAAAGAGTCTAACACACAAAATATCTTGTTTTAGAAATAGCCCAGCCAGTTACTCAGAATGCAACGAAAACAGGTTTGTATAAGGCAGTGTGTGATTTTACATCTTGTGGCATGAAAAATATCCTTGCCATCCATTCAAAGCCCCTGGAGCTCAGCAGCGGCTGTCTCTGTAGGGCTGTTTGTTTAGCCTTGTCTCTCTCTGTTGCCCCACCTCTGCTTCTAGAGCACTATCTTCCTCAGTCCCCCCTCCCTATTCTTTTAAGGCCCTGTGTTGCCTTTCTTCTTCTTCAACAGCCTAGAATGCCAGCATTGGAAAGCTAATAATAGGGACATGATTTTACTCCTCATTGAAAGGCATTCTGGACAAAGTTAAAAGGAAGCTATCAAGTAGATTTAGGCCCAAACCCTGAGGCTTTATTAAAACAAATAAACCCAAATATGATCAGAAACATTTTCATGATTTAAATTTCTCATCAGTGATGGGCATTATTTTATTCATCCCCTTAGGTTTTCATTCCCAATAGCATTGGGGGTGAGGTGGAGGTGGGCAGGTGGATTAGGAGAACCAGGAGGTGAAAATGAGCAGTCTAGTTTTGCTGTGAGTGAAATGGGAAAATGAAACAGTCTAAATTCTGCAAAGTAAACTGGTCTATCAGATTGCTTCAGTTTTAATCTACATGGCACTACTGGTAACACGTAAGGGAATGTGTGAGGTTTTTAAAATATGTTTATTCACTTGACAGAGCCCCTTTCAACCTTTGCAGGGTCTGGGGAAAAAAACATCTGATCATAGTACAATTCAAAATGCTCTGTGCAATATCTCTGCCCAGTCCTTTTTATTTTCTGTGAAAGATTCACCTCTTCTGCAACTGACCTAAGAACAGTCTAGCTGCAATGTGAACCCAGGACATAACCCCATTTCCCTCTGCCGTTTGGTCCAGCCAGCAGATGTCCCCGAATGTTGGCTAGTGAGCTTACCATAGGAAATGTTCGTACACTTTGCAAATCTCATTGTATCAGTCCATTCATCCCCATTCCAGTGCAGAAACATCACACTTTTATGATGTGCTTGAACTTCTCCATGGACCCAGAGAGCCAAAGCCCCATTCCTCTCCTGAACTCTGGTCTCCTACGTCACAGAACACTGCTGGCCCAGTGCTGAACCTGGCTCAATACCTAATGTCTTCATCAAAATGAGAGGAGCACAAGAAGCAAGACAGGAGAATGCCATGTGTAATGTATTTAAGTAGAAACTCTAAATGACAGGCAACTGGGATTGACTCCAGCCCAATCAGGAAGCCTGCTGGGATCTTAGCCCTCATAGGGTCTGGCTTGCTCAGTGTAGTTAAGGGCAGACTTAGTAGGAGTGGAGGGGATGATGAGAATACTTCGGAAGAACAAGCCTGAGGAAATGACACATGCCGACAAGCGAGCACAGTTGGAACAGGTAGCGATGGATCTGAATTACTGAAATGGCAAGCAAATGATGACTGGAAATGCACATGTGACTTGAAGACCTGGCAAGAAGGCAGGCAAGGCTGGAGCACAGTGAGGCAAGACGGTGGCTGCAAATCATAGGATTCCCTGCAGAAGAGGCAGTTTTCTATAAGTACCTGAGTGCCAAAGTTCTTCCCCTGTAGTGTTTGCTGAATGAGCATTTTCCAAGGGCATCTTTCTGGACATGGTCTCAAGGAAGTAGCAGGGTCTGGGGTGCCACAACCTCTCAGTTTGTGTTCATTGAACATCTGGGACAAAATCCATCCCTGGTATAAGCCCAGTGAAGCCAAGAGAGTTAAACTAGCAGCCTAGCAGTTATGTATCTGTGATCAACATCTGTGCTTCGTTGCCTTTGCTCCATTTTGTACTCACAGCTTGTTAAACTCCCCTATAGTTCTTTCTGTTCCTTAACTCTTCCCAGACTCATTCCACCTGTCTCGTCAGCTTTTTCTAGCTTCCTCCGGCTTCTTTTTCATCTCTCTCTCATTCTATTCTAACCATGCTTCACCAATAAACGCTTTCACACTTGCCCTCCTATGTGCCTACTTATGATCTCCGTTTAAGGTTCCCTTTTATATCTTCATCCCACATGATATTAACTCAGCTCTGGCAACAACTTTTCCTGGCTCTAAAGGTCACGAACATTGTACCGTTACGAGAAGGCCAGAAAAATCTTGTCGGCTAACAATGTAAATTTCCTGCAGGCAAAATTCTATAAAGCCACCCGCCCAGCAAACGCTGCGATTCCATCACATGCTTTGCAAACACAGCAGAGAGGAATAAATACTAAAGCTGGGGGGAGGGAGGTGTTCACTATGAAATTCCTGTAGCTCTTGGGTGTTAGCCCAGGTGCATAATGAGTTGCTGATGAGGGCTGCTCTTTCCTTAGGTGATGAGACACGAAAACTCCAGCATTCTGGAACTGGATGGAAAAGAGGTCTCTGTATTCACTCCTTCAAAGCCCAGGGAGAAGTGGCTGCGCAAGAGGACGCATGTGAAGCTAAGGGTAATGCTGTTTCTATTACATGTCTCTCCAAGGGAAACTACTGTTAAATATGATTTGGCTAGATTTGGACCTGTAATAAAAACAATATTAAAGTTAACCAGTATGGGTACAACTCTGTTACTGCTCATGGACTCCACAATTACATGGGGGTGGAGAGATTGCATTGCAGTAATCGTATGTGTCAGTGAGATATCCCAGTTATAGATTTCTGGAAGAGACAGACACTCTCTCTGCAACAAGGTCTCCTCCATATAAAATACTAAGTGTTGGCTGTAGGTCAAGAAAGGAGACGGAATTGTTTCAAAGCCTGGTGTCCTAAATTGTCTGTACAGTAACTGTCATTCCCTGGAGTTCGTGAATCCAGAGGACAAGAAACTTTTCTGATTTCCATGAGCGGGACGTTTGTTTAGCCAGCAATAATCTGCTGACAGTAATTTTTCCTCCTAATTTGAAGGTGCAACATACAGAATTTTGCACCACAAGGAATCAGATTTTCAAGATGTTCTGTGTCACTGACTACACAGTATTTGTGCCCAAAGGGTCTGGAGTAGTATTACTAGAGAGTGACAGTATCCTTGTGTGATATCATGGCATATGCATGCATAAAGGCCCAGAATTTCAAAGGACAATCGTCGTTTTTGCAGACACAAATTTTTCCTGTAAGGAGTGGCAGCAGG